TGTGAAGAGCCAGACATGACTAAAATGACCGAACAACAACAACAAAACATTAAAAAAGAAAAGTGAACATCCTAACTTTAGGAACCAAACACAACAATAATAATTACTATAATAACTCCCATGTCTATAGCACTTTGAGGTTTAAAAATCACCTTCCCACACCACATTCCCATGAGGTAGGTGACATAAGGATGATTGTCCCCATTTTCCAGATGAGGAATGCTATATAAAAAAGAATTTGGTCCTGTGAGGCCTGGCACACAGGTCTATTTCCCAATAGAGCAGAGACTCAGATCACGTAACACTAAGGAATAGAAAAAGAGAATGGATTTTATTGTTAGAGCACAGTTTGACTTGGAGACTTTACCTTTTAAAATACCGTTTCATTATTCATTGTTCTTCATTGGCATGTGTTCATGATTGCTCTTTTTCATTCATCTCTTTCCTTAGGCAGGCAGTGGGGCATAACAGCTAAAGTTCTAGACTTGGAGTTAAGAATCCCTGGGCTCAAACATCGCCTCAGGCAACTCTCTGAGACTGATTTACTAAGTTAAAGACCAGGCCATATGTGGTCCTCTAGGTTCTTAAGTGTGGCCTGAAGGCCACCTCTATTATAGACAGAGATGTGTTGCAGCCAGCCAACTGATAAATTTTCACTGACAGCGCAGTGGATAGAATGCCAGTTCTGGAGTCAGGAGGACCTGGGTTCAAATATGGACTCAGAAGATTGACACTTATTAGCTGTGTGACCCTGGGCAGGTCATTTAACTGATTCAATTGCCTCTCCAAAAAAAAAAATTTTTTTCACTGAGAATTTACAACTTGGATATGGGAAAATGTTACAAAGCAGGGTTTGATTTATCGTTCTATTGGTGTTGATAACGCAGATTAAAACCTAAGTACATGAAGTGTACTTTTTTTTTCTAGAGAGATGGTTATTAAATATTTACCAGCACATCCTGGAAACTCATTATAGATTAATAATAGATGGTTATGTGTATCTATTTCTTTAATCATAACTCCTAGACATGAAGTATTATTGAAAAATTTTGCCTCAAATAGCAAATTATCCTCAAAGTTGGATTTGCAGCTAAGTACAACATATTATAAGTGAAAAGAAATGGGCAATAACTAAAGGTCCAGAAGAGACATTTAATATCATCTAATTTAAGTCCATTGCTTCATAGAAAAGGAAACTGAGACCTAGATAGGACAAGTCTCTTGTTTTGAGTCACTGAGCAGTAAGATACAGTGTAAGGAGGATTGGATCTGTAGTTGGTCAGAAGGCCTCAATGATGGCTAAGGCCCCTTCTAGCTCTGTAAACCAAGAATATTCCTCTAGGTAAGAGACTCAGGATTCAAACCTGGATCATGGGTCCTAGACGCAGAGCTGAAAGGAATCTTCTTATCCTAATCCCTCATTTTACAGATGAGAAAACTGAAGCTTAGAGAAGGTGAATTGACTTGCTCAAGATCATACATGAAGGGACAAAGGCGGGATTCTGGCCTAAATTCTTTGCCTCCAAATTCACAGGTATTTCCACTGTACTATGCGATTTTTCTGGGGCTTTTTTATTTTTCCGAAAAGGAGGAAGCCTGAGCCTGTATTTGTGTAACAAAATACACTGGATGGAGCAACAGATGACATAAATCACTGCAGAGGATTGTGGGTTTCCCTTGGTACTGAAGTATAAAAACCAGAACACAGAAGGGCTCCTCTGTCCAAGACCTCCCCTTCAACACCCACCCTGCCCCCAGTCTCTTTCCTTCCTCAGATAACTCCCAGCATTTTGTCTGTGCCTCCCCTAAGTACTTCCTGTTTTCTTGTGTGTATTTAAGTATTTACATTCTTGTCTCATCTCAGATGGCACAGTGAATAAAGTGTTGGATCTGGAATCAGGAAGACCTCAGTTCAAATCTAGCCTCAGACCTTTACTACTTGTATGACCCTGGGTAAGTCACTCAACCTCTGTTTGCCTCAGTTTCCTCATCTGTAAAATGAAGGTGATAATAATAGGAGATAATAATAATACCTCTAAAGGTTGTTGTGAGAAGCAAAAAGATAATAATTTTAAAGTGCTTGGCATACTATCTGGCACATGGTATATAAATTTTAGCTATAGCATAAAAATACAGTATATACATTTTTAGCACATGGTGTATAAATTTTAGCTATTATTTGCCTAAATTTTAAGCACCTGGAGACCAATGACCAGGTCATCCACGGCCAGGGAATGCTCCTCCTTACTTCTGTGTCTCAGAATCCTGAGCATCTTTCACATCACATATCAGGGGTAGCTCCAACATAACATTTTTCTATGTCTTCTTTGTACTCTTCCCCTTCTGATGTCACTTTATGTTAGCTTTATATGCTGGATTTTCTTCCTTGAGTATATGTTGAAACCTCTCCACTTGAAGATGAATATGAGGGCAGGGGCTATTCTGTTCTTGCCTTAGTATCCTCAACAGCTAGCACAGTTCCTTGACCATAGAAGGTCCTTCATTATTATTACTGCAATCATTAATAACAATATTAATTGTTAGCACTTATATAACTCTTTTAAAGTTTGCAAAGTACTTTATATATATCAGCTCATATTATCCTAACAGCAATCCTGGGAGGTAGATGCTGTTATTATCTCCATCTTACAGATGAGGAGACTGAGGCAGACAGCATTTAAGGGACTCACCCAGGGTCACATAGCTAGTAAATGTCTGAAGCGGCACTTAAATTCAGGTCTTCCTGACTTTAGGCCCAGGGCTGTACACAGTACGTCTTCTAGCTGCCTTACGAATGCTTGTCAAATTGAATTGCTAAATTCTAACAGCAGAAATCTTCACTGTGCCCTTATTCTTTGTTTGCCTCAGTTATTTCATTTGTAGAACGTAGATAATAATAATACCTACTTCCCAGGGTTGCTGTAAAGATAAAATGAGATGATATTTGTAAAGTGTTTTGTAAACCCTAAAGAATTATACAAATGCTGCTGCTGCTGCTGCTAACAACAACATTTCCAGTTAGACTGCAAGTTCTTTGTGGGCAGGGACCACGTTTTATACTTCTTTGTTTCCCACAGACTGTAGGCATTCTATGCTAGGGCATAGAGTCCAGGCTTAGGAATCTAATTATTGCGCAGAAACCTTGCATTTTCAATGACTTCACGAGTAAATGCAAAAACCATTGGCTCAACAATTGGTTCACAGACACGACTTGGGATCCTCTTCATTCCAAACTGACCCTGTTGGACAAGTCCTAGGCAATTTCCCATCAGAAAATCCATAAAACCACAATGACTAACCTCTCAGAAAAAGCTGAGGTATTTTCAAGATGCACTGGACTGTGTTGAGAAAAGCTCTTTCCTTGGAGATCTTGAGAATGGTTTTAAATTGAGCAGATTGGGGAGAAAACTTGAGTGAGACAGCAGTTTTTTTCTTTTTGTCTTGAGATGGATAGATGGACTGAATCCTCTCATGGAGGCATGGATTCCATCCAGAGAGGATGAAACAATGACAAGAAACCAGGCTCAGGAGATACAAACTTGGCACAGAGAGCCCTGCCAAACACCAGCTCTCTTCACTGCCTTTTCACATGTCTGGATACTTTCCATGGCATGTGCAGTTTATAAACACCTTGTTTATTCCCTGAATGATTTTGGCGGGAGGCTCTGAAGGAAACCTGCCAAGACAATGGGCGCTTCCTTGGGCCCATTTCAACAATCCCACTTTTCTTTGACACAGTGTGCTTTCACTTCCTTATAATCTGCCCCCTCCTTTGCATAAAGGGGCAGAGCATGTTGAACAAAAGCAGCTCAGAAAGGCTACAGAAAATGAATTTATTAAAGAGAAGATGCTACTGGGTACCATACATCAACAGCAAAGGGGGCCACTTATTTTCCCACTTCTGATTCATTCGGATGGGGTTAAGTGTAAGGCAGTTTTAAATGAGGAGATCAGGGGATATCAGACAACATCATAACCCAATTGGCAAAATGAGACCCAAATCTGAACACTTTTAGAACAGAAGCTATTCCTGTTGGATATGAAAGCCTTCGAGACATTTAACAAGAGAGTTGAATGTGCCTGGCTAGGTAGCATGACTCTTCTGAATATCTGTGTCCAAACTTGTTATTGCTAGTGAGTCTGCGGCCAAGTCCCCTACCCAGCCTCTAGGGAATAATGGAAAGGAAACCAGCAGGTCACATTCCACATCCCTAAGGTATGTAGATTATGACACAGAGAAGATAAGGCCAGTGAGGGAGTGTACTCAGAGACCAATGAGAACCCTTTAAATATAGAAGGACAGACCAGGAAGAGCAGAGTTGAGTAGTTAGGACTGAGCTGTTTTAGTCTTACAAGCCAAGGTCATTTTGTAACTGTTTAGAGGAACCATTGAAGTAGGTCTCTATTAATTGCAGGCTTTAAACCCCAGTTAGTGACACTTTGGGTCATATGTAGGACTGTTGTGTTAGCAGAGCTGTAGAAATAGTTTAGGATACACAAAAACATAAGGAGAGATAAAGACCATTCCTTCTTTTCACCAATGTCATTAGGGCAGCCGATGATAGTTTTAATTAACTGTTACTTTGTTCTGACTCTCCTGAAGCTAATTGATAGCTCAGCTTGACAGTGACAAAGGATGAAGGAATGTTGAAGATGTAGTATGCATCCGTCCAGTACTTGGACCTTAGATATGATCTGGTCCAACCTTCTACCCAAGACCAAAAGCTAGTTACAATCAGGACTGGAATCCATGACTCTTGACCCCTGCTCTAGTATTCTATTAAGCCAACTGTGATCATAGACCCACAAATTGAGAGCTATAAGGGACCTAGAGGTAATCTAAGACAACGTCTTCATTTTCAGATAAGGACATTGAGGCCCTGAGAGGTTAAACAACTTACCCATGGTCACACAGATAAAAAGTGACAAACTAATAACATGAACTTAGGTCCTCTCACTTCAAAGCCAATTTCTTTCCACTGGACCATGGTGCCTCTCAATTAAATAAGGAACTCTTCACAAATCTGCATGTCATCATTGAGCAAGGGCCACACTCATCTTCTTTTTATTGTTCCAATTTTAGTATATGTGCTGTCAAACAGCCACTTTTAACACAGGAAGATCAGAAGAAGCAGTTTGAGAATGCAAAGTTTCCTATTGATTATGATGATGATGATGATGACAATAGCTGACATTTTATACATGGTGTTTTAAGGTTTGTAAGACACTTTATATATGTGTTATCTTGTTTGGCTCTTACAACAACTCTGTGGGATAGGTGCTATTATTCCAAATGATAGATGGGGAAACTGAGGCTAAAAGAGATTCTTGCCCCCACGCAAGTTAGATTGGTCTTCTCTTAAGAGGTATTGAGACTTGATCAGCTCATAGAACTCATGGCTCAGGCTGCTGATACCACTTTTCAACCACCTAGTAACGAAACAGCCACAAGGAACTCCAGGTTTTTGTTCTGATGCTTGGCTCATGGATCCAATGGGCAAGTGAGTCAAGGGAGCTTCACTTGAGCTGAATCAGCTCAAGTTATCTTCAGTGCATATCCTTGTTGACTATTCTCCTTTTGTGCACTGCCAAGTGGTCTATGAACATCTCATCTTGTGCTGGTATCAAACGTAAACTACCAGAAGACTGAACTGAGTCAGACCCAGTCCAGAATACTTACCCAGGGTCATAAAGCTACAAAGTGTCTGAGGTGAGATTGGAACTCAAGTGTCCTTGACTTCAAGTTCATTACTCTATCCACTCTCCATCCAAGCCGCTTCTGGAGTAATTGCAGATAACACTAAATCTTCAGACTATTGCTTAGCTTTTCCCTTGCCATCTTGTAATTATCTGGGATGGTGGGGACAGGGAAGGGGAAGCGTTTAGCCAGACCTGGGAATTGTTCCAATGGTGCAAGCCCTCCAAACGCCCCCATGTGGTTAACGGCCGTGTTAACACCGACATTTAGATTTTCTAGGCATTACCTTGGAGTTAGTCTAAAGGTTCTTTACTCTTGCTCGACAGTGACAAACTCACTGTATCCAACCACTGCTTTCTCACTCTTAGCAAATAGGACAATAGTCTTCCCTCATAACCTTGAGACGGATCCAAAGTGAAAAGGGCTGCCTCATAAGGTAATGAGTTCCATGTCACTGGAGGTCCCCCAGTGGCTATGGTACAAAGACTTGTCAGAATAGTATAGAACAGGTTCCTATTTATAAAAGGCCTCTGAAGTCATTTTCCAATACTGAGATTCTATGATTCTGCCTTTCTGTGTCTGTGTATACTTCTACCAGTACCATTGACCCAGAAGTCATTAGCATTAACCAGAGATTTGTTTCTGCATGAAAGATACACAGCATGGTACAAAGGAAAGCATTGGATTCAGAGTCAGAGAAATCCCTGAAATCCCAATTCTGTCTCTTGCTACCACTATATATTTTCTGTCTATAACTACTTGCAAATGCATATTGTATTGTATATATTACATCTGGAACAATACACGCAAATATAAGCACATGTTACCTTCCTGACTAGAACAAAAACAACAAAAAGTATCCAATGTGTGCCAGGAACTGTGCTAAGCACTGGAGATACGAAAGGAAGGGGTAGAAAAGTCTCTGCCTCAAGCAGCTCCCAATATAACACATGTACAAACAAGATATAGACAGGATAAACTGGATAGCATCTCAGGGGAGGAGATGGAGATGAGGAGGGAGAGAGTTCCAACCACAGGGGTCAGCCGGTAAAAGTACACAGAGCTGAGATGTAGAGTGTAATAACTGAGGAATAACAAGGAGGTCAGTGTCAACTGGATTGAAGAGATTAGAAAGGTAAGAAGGGCTGGGTTAGAAACTGCCTCAAAGGGGCAGCTAGGTGGCACAGTGGATAGAGCACCGGCTCTGGAGTCAGGAGGACCCGAGTTCAAATTCGGCCTCAGACACATAAAAATTTGCTTGCTGTGTGACTCTGGGCAAGTCACTTAACCCCAATTGCCTCAACAACAAAAAAAAAAAAAAAGAAAGAAAGAAAGAAAAAGAAATTGCTTTAAAAGCCAAATACAGGATTTTCTGTTTGATCTTAGAAGTTATAGGGTAACACTGAAGTTTACTGAATAACATGGAGGTGGGGGTGACATAGTCAGACCTGCACTTTAGGAGGATCAGTTTGACCAGACCATAAGCTCCTTGAGGGGGGGAGGGGATATATTTTCACTCTCGTCTTTCTTTCCCTAGTGCCTAGTGCAATATCTTACATATAATAAACACTTAACAAATAAATGCTTGTTGATTGATTGTGTGATTTTGGGCAAATTACAACTTCTGTGGACCTTACTTTGTGCATCTATAAAATTAAGGGGTTGGACTTACTTCCAAAGTCCCTTAGGTTTTTGACCCATGATCCTTTGGACCTATGGAATGGTGTTCTAAGATATGATCATAGTAAACCTACCCATTTGCCTACCTGTCTTAGGCGTATTATATTTCTACAGAATGATCATGTATAACTAAGTGATTTATTTAAAATACACATACACAAAAAAACTATTCTCTTCCAGAACACAATAATGCCTTGTTTGTCCATCATATACGGGGTCTAAGGTATCTCACATAAGTGAATTTTCCAGATAACTAAAGCATATCCTTTTAACCCTCAAAACTTTTGACTTTGCCTCTAATGGAAATATTTCAAAATTACATTACACACTACCCTTCCTTCTTAAGCTTTAGTTGTATAACAGTCTTGGTATATACCTTGGTGTGGAAGGTTGTTTGCCCCTATGCTGAGTGGCCTCCAGACTCCCAAGATTTTTGAGTTCTCATGCCTGCTTTTTATACATTCTCTCTCCTTCTTGGCTGCTATGCCAAATTGCTGTTGGCATAACACCTTCCAATAACCTTTTGGACTTGTTGCGTCTAATTTATTTTGGCTTGAGATGACCAACTTGATTAGAATTGTGACTAATGTAAGAATAAACAAAGAGCTTTGAAGAACTCAGACTTAGTGGCTAGTCTCTGAATAAAGACCACCGGTTTTAATAAATGGACTCTGTAAGTGTCTTGGTTTCTCAAATGTCATTTTTGCTTACTTCCTAGTTCTTAGCTCTATCCTTAGTAGCTGAGGTTGTCAGACAAATACACGCTAGATAAATGAGGGACTGTGGTCTCTCGTTCTCTGTGGAATCAGCTCTAGGCCCTAAATGGTTGGATAATCAAAAGGCTCTTTCTGTGATGTCCTAGTGTAAATTCATCCTCCTTCATCTTTATATGCATTAGTCTGTTCCTTCCAGTCCCATCTTGCCAAATCACATGAAGTCGTAGGGTGGGGGGAAGAATGGGGAAAAGAATAGGTAGGTGGAAAAAGAATCTTCCTAGCTAGGCCCTGTTGGTGTTGACCTAATATTAAGGCATGAATAGACATCAGAGCTCTCAGAGTCACTCAGTGATGAGGGGCCACCATCAGAGTTTCTTTGGGTATCGCTTTACAATGAGTACAGACGTTGATTTTTTTTTTAATTTCCTGGTTGCTCACTTACCACTCACTACCATTCCTGGCTCTTTCTGCATCTCCAGTGGCAGTAGATGCAATCTGGGGGACTACAGGGAAGTTCCAGGTTATACACAGGATTCTGGGCCTCAAATATGTTTACACATACGTAAACACACCAAGACACAAACCATTCATCATCTGGAACCAAAACCAAGTCAATGTGCAGTGTGACCATACTACATAATAATTATAGAATTATGAACTGAGTAAGGGAAAAGGAGGGGCATGATCACAGAACAGCCAGGGAGAGGGAAGTAGATCTGAGACCACATGGCCCTGATCCCTACAGGATTTCAGCAGGTACAGAGGTGGAAAGAGTAAGGTTCAGGCATTGGGAATGGGACAGCGCAGGTGGGGGAGAGTAGAGATGGACTAGGAAAGAACTGGATGGCCCAGTCTGTCTAGAACACAGTACAGGAAAGGTAGTAATGTTAAACAAGATTAGTTATAGATTTTATTTTATGTATCCTGCCAGCTTTTAGTTTCTGAGAAATAATCTTTGATTCCAAAACTTGGGCCAGAGGGAATTACTGAAGGCTTTTGAAAAAGGTAGTGATAGGGTCAGTCCTGTGCCTCAGGAAAACAATTTCAACAATTGAGCAAAGGACAGGTTGGAAAGCAGATACAAGTTATTAGGAAGATACTTGTTAGGAGGCCACTAGCACAGAGGTGTGTGTGTGTGTGTGTGTGTGTGTGTGTATGCATCAATTTTATATAGATGATATACATGCACATATATAATATATGCACATACATGTACATACATGTATATGCACACATATACACATGTGTGTGTGTATGTGTGCGTGTGTAAATCTACTTGGTTCAGTAAGATCCTAGGAGATGCTAATGATATTGATGAGAACAGTTAAATTTACAGAGAAAAAAATGTGTCCTGTAGCTCCAGACCACATCCCTCACACTGATGGGTAATCTCTAATATTTAAGGCCCTTTATAACTTGGCTTTAATCTGCCTTGATGACGTCCATCACTCCGCTTCAGGTCCAGCCAAGCGGAGCAGCTTGCTGTTCCTCACACACAACGTTCCATTCCCCATTTCCGTGACTCTGCTGACGCTCATGCATGCAATGAACTTTCTCCTCACCTCCATCCCTGCATGAGCCATTTCCTGATCATCCCGGCTACCAGCGCTTCATTCTCCAAATTATCTTGCATTTATTTTGCCCGTCTTTATTCATGTGTACACTGTCTCCTCCAATGGAATATAAACTCCCTGAGGTCAGGGACTGTTTCCTTCTTTGTTCTTGTATGCCCAGCAGCTAGCTCAGAGCTTGGCCTATACTAGATGCTCATAAAATGCTTGTGATTGATTGATTGATGTTGCGAATGTGTCCTACTGAAGACAGGAAGGAGCAGATAAGAGAATGGAGATGCCTTAGTATAATGTTTGTTTTTTTTTTTAAATTAAAGCACTTGCTGGGGCAGCTAGGTGGCGCAGTGAATGGAGCACTGGTCCTGGAGTCAGGAGGAACTGAGTCCAAATCCGGTCTCAGACCAGACACATAATACTTACTAACTGTGTGACCCTGGGCAA